TTATCCTAAACTTAAGTCTTGATTTTGGGAGCTTTTCAAGCCTACATACAGGATTTGGCAACTTGCCAACGTTTAAGCGCCATCGCCGCTCTGTACTGACTCCCCTGGGACGCCCCGCGAGCATACCTTACGGCTGCTTTCGGGGCGCCATTCTCGGGGAGACCCGAATCGGGGCGTCCCAGCCGCGAACAGGAGAGCACACCTTACAGCCCCAGTTCAGTTCGAGTTCATCATCCAATATTATGAAAATGGCCAGGGCTCTTCATTTGTGACGAAGTGGTGTTCAATCGCGTTAAGGCTTCCGAAAAAAAGCTATTCATTTTTTAGGTACGCTAAAGATAATGTTCGCAACAAATCCGTGATGAGAGCGAAATTCGTGCAAAAGGCGATCATGGCCTTGTTTCTAGGATTTTTGTACTTTCAAACACCAACCGATCAGGTAAAACCTTTTTATTAAGTAAGTAAACGTACCGGGACCATTACTTCTAGGACGGTGTCACTAATCTCAAAGGAATTCTGTTCTTCTTTTGTTCCGAACTCACTTACCCGACAATGTATGGGATTCAAACTTACATGCCTGGAGAGTTTCCTCTTCTAGTCAGAGAATACCATAATGGTGACTATCCTGTATTGGCATACTACGCAGCTAAGGTAAGTTGCATTGTGTCAATTGATAAGTAGTATCAGCTGATTATTAGGAGAACTTGTCAACGGCTACCTTGCTACGCTAAGGGCTTCTCTATTGTTCACCAGAAGTTTGATTAGCAGATGCAGATATATATGGCGCGCTAGAGTCTGTTTGTGTGTTTGCTTGTTCGGAAATTCCATATTATGGAAAGTTGGGTCAAGTTCGAGGTTCGATATGGGTTGTTCACAAGGCAAGTTCAATAGAGCACATGGGAGCCAAGCGGAGTCCCCTCTACCCTCTGCGGGGGAAGGGAAGGGAGGGGAGACTGGGCTGCCACTTTTGTTCCCATTACCAAGGACATGCTTTCATAATATGTAAGCATAGGTCATTTTTGATTGCGAGCAACCTGTATATCTTAATCTCTCGTAGTCGCCACCAATGTTCTACCATCGTGCCACCAATGTTCGACCATTGTAGCGTACTTTTACATGGAACACGCAGGGTTGCTTATTTTACGCAATATAATCGTTTGGACAAAATGCTTAGTAATCAGCTCTCAAACGTTCTGCTTATGAACTCGGCTCATTGTTTGCCGGAGGATCACCCCCATGGCAGATATGGAATAAGATCATCCCACGTCACGAGAACGCTTCAAACTCAAAAACTCGCTCTTTACAGTGATAGTGGCCCAAACAAATGGCCGAATTTGAAATCCAAATTTGAGGTACTCTCCTACATGCCGATATTTTCTGTGGACGGAATAATTCTCACCAGCATAGCGTACTGGTTAATCGGTCTCGCTCCGACTCTTGAACGTTTCCTTCGCACTGTTATCACCGGTGTTCTCGTTGAGACCATGGTGGCTAGCCTAGGAGTTGCTGTCTGCTCGGTATTTTGGTTTTTTTACAACTTGAGGTACAACTGATTCAAACTGATTCTTTTTAAATATGTATACACTACTTTCAGTTCTCTCCATCGTACGCAGTCGCCGTCACAATAACAGGACCCCTACTCACCGTCTATTCAATGACTGGTGGTCTTTTCACCAATGTTGCTATGCTTCCGGACTGGATAAAATGGGTGCAGTACTTATCATGGTTAGTGTACTTGACTACTGACTCACGTGTTAAAGTCAGTACCTGTATTGCCTATTCCATCAAGGTTTCGCTTTGGTTACGAAGCCTTCATCGTCAACGAGTGGACTTATGAGAGATATACCAACATATCTTGCACCATGACTAGCGGAAAGGTGGCTGAATCGTGCCAGCATTCTGGAGCGGAAGTGATCAAGGTAGCTCTACAGGAGAGCAAATGAAACCACCTACGACATTTTTGTAGATGTTACAGAGGGAGGGTCGTCAAAAAAATGACTAACTCAACTTTAGGAATTGAGCTTTCATCCTCTCAACCTCTACTTCAACTGGTTGTGTATGGTACTATACACATTGGCGCACTACTCTATCGGCTACATCGCCCTCACCTATCGCGTGCAGCAACATCGATGAACACCTCGAAAATGTAGAAGAAACCTCGAAGCACACTAATGCAATTAAAGGTTTATTTTCGCTAGGACTCGAATAAACCAAACTCGTCATTGCGACTGCACTTGACACAATCAGAAGTACCATCCCAGCGGAGTGACGTAATTAAAAAGAAC